GTCCTAAGAGAATTTCATTGGGAAACCTTACCCATCCACTCTACATTCCTGATCTGGCCCCTTCATACTTCTTATTGTTCCCCAAATTCCAAGAACACTTAAGGGAACATGATATAAGCCCTTTGAGGATGGTAAACTGGTGTTTTGATGTAATGTACATCGAAGAAAGCAGAAATCTTTGTGGAAGGGTTACTGTTGTAAATTGCTGTTGAGCCCTTTCCCACTCAGAGTAACTGTGAATTGGATTTCCAAGGAGGAGCTGGTGGGTTTGAACCACCAATTTTGTGGCTAGCAACCCAATGTTTATCTGACAGTGCCACTCCAGGAAGACTTAGATGAAAACACCACCTTCAAAAATGTATAGACCTAGATGAAGGATATGTCTAGAAACACTAGTTTCACATTTTGATGTTTTCTTTAATCAAGGTTTCTGTGACTTTGATGCAATACTTTCTGACCAATTCTTGTATCTAATAAGGGACTTATATTTAGAACATATGTATAAAGAATCCTTCAAAATAAGTAAAGAATCCTTGGAGTCCTGGTGTGGCGCTAAGAGAAAGCACTGGATTGCAAGATTAGTTTGAACCACAAGGTCGGCAGTTCAAACTCACCAGCCACTCCTGGAAAATCCTACACAGGGCTTCTCGGAGTCAGAACCGACTCAAAAGCATTCACAACAACAATAACCACAAAAGAATCCTTAAAACTCAATAATGAAAAACACAACTCAGTTTCTAAAACGTGCAATGGATTTAAATAGACATTCCTTTAAAGATAAATAGCCAACAAAACATATGAAAAGATACTGGGTATCATTATTAACCCCCAAATGAATTGCTGTCCAGTAGGTTCCAATTCATGGTGACCCCTATGGAATAGTTAGTTCCATGGGCTTTTCTTATCCATAATCTTTATTCAAGTAGTTTTCCAGGCCTTTATTCTACAGAACTTCTTAGCAGGTTCAAACCTCCAACTTTTAGGTTACTTGTTATTGTGGATTTTTGGTGCCAACCAGACAATTCTGACTCATAGTAACCCTATGTAGGGTTTTCAAGTAGAGGTTAGTGGATTTGAACTGCCAACCTTACAGCTAGCAGTCCAATTCTTATCCTACAGAGCCACATTCAGGTTAGTAGGAGAAGGCAAATTTGGCCACACCCGAACCTCATCAGTCATCAGGAAAATGCAAAAAAAAACCCTACACTTATTACCTACTGTCATTGAGTAGATTCTGGCTCCAAGTGGTTCAGAACCTATATAGGGTTTCCAAGAAGAAATCTCTATGGGAGCAGACAGTCTCATCTTTCTCCCATGGAGCAAGCAGGTGGTGGGTCTTACCTGTCAACCTTGCAATTAACAGTTCAGTGCTTATCCTACAGTAGCACCAGCAGGGATCCTTTTATACACATTAGGATGTCTACATTCAAAATGACTGACAATCACAAGTATTAGAGAGAATGTGGTGGAACTGAAATCCTTCACACTGGTGAAGTGTGAAAGGAAACACTTAAAAAACAGCTTGAGAGAAAATAAGACACAGTAATTCCAAACTGTGTACATTAATATTCATAGCAGCATTATTAAGAGCCAACAAGCAAAAACAATTTAAATGTCCATGAACTACTGAATGGCTAACATGTGGTATATCCACACAATGAAATATTATTTAGCAATAAAAAGGAATATGTGCTTATACATGCCTCAACATGGATGCACTTCAAAAACATTATGCTAAGAGAAAGTAGCCAGTCATAAAAGACCAAATATTGTATGATTCCATCTATATGAAAGTCCAGAAAAGGTCAAACTACAGAGGAAGTATATTAGTGTTTGCCTAGGGCTGAGAGTGGAGAGTTGGGGGTGTGATGAGGAATGACAAGCTAAAGAGGTTTCTATTTGGGGTGATGGAAATGTTTTAAGATAATAGGACTATGGTGATGTTTGCAAAACTCTGTAAATATACAAAAAAGCATCTAACGCTGCTACACAGGTGGATTTTAGGGTATGTGAATTATATCGCAATATACTGTCTAAAAGGGGAGGGTTAGATGTAATGTTGCACTGTATTTTTGGTGCCTATGAAGGCTAGGCTCAGATCTCTGACTTAAAAAAATTGTTTCCAGATCTAATGCCAAACAAGCTATGAAAATACAGTCATTGAGGAAGATGAGTCAGGAAATAGCAACGTCGCCCCCCCCTCCAAAAAAATAATAAAAGTTCATATTTAGGTAAATGTGTGTACTAAAATACACCCACAGAATATAGTGCTGATCAACGGCCTTGACAGGTATTATCCACCACAACAAAACGTTCACTGAACCTCTCAAATGCGGACGAATCTCAAGTTGATAGGTATTAGGGTCTGCCCTTTCCATAATTAACAAGCATCTCAAATCCTGTGCAGTAACCGATAAAGGAAGGTAAAATGCTTCAAGGGACCAGCTCCCTACACATAGTATCCTTGTCAATCACCCAAAACGTGGCACTCTCTGAGAGACCCTTCTATTCCAGTGGTTGGATTCAAAACCTTGGAGCCTACCGCACTCCTATCTAGCGCATCCGCCTCGCAGCATTACTCAGCTGCTTCGCGGCATTACTCAGCTACTCCGCCTCACAGTGAGGAGCAAGGAGGGAGGGTGGTCCTCGGAATCGCAGGGAACGCAGGACCCAGGCCTAGGGTGCGCCTGAGCAACAAAAGAAAACGTGGGGCACTGTCCCCCACCCCTCCATCTTCCCTACCAGGGACTTCCGTCTGCTGTACCCCGCCTCGCTCAGGCCACGCCCCGCCGCGAACGTCCCCGGGATCGGGGTCGCTGGGACGCCAACGTCCACCGCAGCACCTGCATTGGGCGTGGCGGGGTCTGCACGCTCAGCCTAGCACCCTCTCCCCCCCCCCCCCCCCCCAGTCTTTTCTCCCCTGGTTGGGTTCCTATCGACCATCCACCCCCCCCCCCCCACACGCGCGCTCTCCTACCGTCAGCCTCCACCATTTCCAGGACATCTGGGTCGCCCATCTTCGCCAGCTCGTTAAAGACACTGAAGCCCGAGGGACAGTGAACGACTGACCGCACAGAGTGGACGCGATAAGGTGGGGAGGATATGCTGAATCGGATCGTGGGCCGCTTGTTCTGAAGATACGATGCCAGGATCTCCGAGTGTGGCGTCCTGTCTTTGCTCAGGACCGTGACCTTCTCTGTGTTCTGTGGCCTCGTCTTTCTCTTGCTACTGGGCTTCTTCAGCCAGGGGTGGTACTTCCCCTTGATGCTAGACTTCTGTTCCTCTTCACCCTTGAGCCACTCCTTTACTCCGCTCTCCTGAGAGCCATGCTGGGATCCCTCCCTGTACTTGTTGTGCGACCTTCTCTCCTCCAGGTCCCTTCTGCTCTGGCTCTCCCTCGGCTTTCCTTTCCCGGCCTCTTCGACCCTGTCTTCCCGCCTCTCTCCCCGCCTCCAGGCCTGTAGGATCGATGGCGCTCCTCCCTCGGAGGCCCACAGCGTCCCTCCCCCTGACCCCCCCGGCTGGTTGTCGGCCAGCACCTCTGCTCTCCATCTGTCCAAGCTCGGAGACTTGGTCTCCGTTTCCCACCATTCTTCCGAGTCCATCGTTTCCCAGTTCTCTTGGCGGGTCAGCCCCATTCTCATCGAATCTTCCTGATCCCTTTCCACCGGGTCGGCCCACATCAAGGACTCCTCAGCCTTAATCCCAACTGTCGCCTTTCTCTTGGGTTTTGCCTCCTTTGATCCCAAATGACTGAGTAGCTGTTCCCTTGACAAGTCGTCCTCGTCCTCGTCAGTCTCCATCTCTCTGGTCCTCCGCCCACCGCAGGTGGCGCTCGGAGGGAACTTCGTCTTAGCTCGGAAGTTACTTTTTGTCGGGTGAAAAAAAGTCCCCCTCGCCTAAAGGGCCCCCACCCCTTAAGACCGGCGGGTGGCTGGGATCTCCGAGCTTCCAACAGACCTCTCCCTCTTGCCTTTGGCGCGTGGATATTAACCCCTCCAGGCCCCCACTCAGGGCAGGGGCAGCTTGCAGGCTTCTGAACAGTATCTTTGCTTATCCTACATTGTCATACATTGCGACCTGAGTTCTAATTAATCATCTGCTACTCTATGGCACATAACAACAACAACTTAAAAAGTTGAATGGACAAATTTTTATAAGCTTTAGCTTTGTCATCTTTAAAATGTGAATGATAATAGTACTTATCTTCTAAGAATTTTGTGAGGAGCCCAAGGTAGAGCACTTGAAACATAATGACATTACACTGAGCACTGCTCAGCTTCAAAGGGTCTTTTACTGTTCTGAGAGCTTTAGCCTCAAGCAGAATGGGCGTTCCCATTCCTTACAGGCCTCTTAGAATTAGTTCTGTGTTTTTCAGTGGCTCTGGTGTGGCGCTCTGGTAGTTTAGTGGTTACTAGTAGGGCTGCTAATCTCAAGGTCAGTAGTTCCAAAACACCAGTGGATCTGTGGGAAAAAACATGAGGCTTTCTGCTCCGGTAAAGATTTACAGCCTCGGAAACCCTATGTAGGGTCACTATGAGTCCAGCTGACTCCACGGCACATAACCATCAGGAGACCTGGTGTAGCAGTGTGGGTTAATGCGCTGGACTTGGACTACAAAGTTGGTAGGCTCACCAGCCGCTACTGGGAAACCCTTAAGAGGGTTTCTATGGGTTGGAACCAACTTGACGGCACTAAACAACAACAACAATGGTGTAGCGCTATAGTCTAAGCACTAGACTACAGTAATGCACCAGAGGTGGTTCTAGCTCACCAGTGTCTCCTTGGAAACCCTATACAGGGTCGCTATGGGTCGGAACCGACTCGACGGCACTTAACAACAACAAACTACAAGGTCAGCTGTTCAAACCCACCAGCCATATACAGGTCGCAATCGACTCAACAGGGAACAGCAACAATGTCAACGACTAGTTCATAAAAATGGAATAAGAAGAATTACATTCTACAGAGGGGAAAACAGTGGAGGCAGAAGTGTAGAGTTCTCTCGGTAAGTTGGATTCTTGACCAATGCACCGTCTGTTAATGGGAGTTTGTGTATTTCAGAGGAGACTAGGAAGAAAGGTCTGGCAATCTACTTCCAAAAATCAGACATTGAAAGCTCTCTGGATCACAACCATCAGATCTTGTTGTAATGGCGTTACCCTCTGATTCCACAGCAAGGAAAAAACAAATGAGTGATGATTGAACTAAGGGCAAGTTAAGTCTGAGTTTGAAAGCATTGAGAATTGAGGAAGGAGTGAGTCCAAATTCGAAACAGGGATGGAATGATTTGAGAATAAGGAATTGACTAAGGAAGACAATTCTTGTTCATTGTTGGACTGCTTTTACTCTTTCTTCTCTTGTGGCGCTGCGGGTTAATACGCTGGACTGTAAGGCCAGTTTGAACTGCAGGGTTGGAGGTTCAAGCTCACCAGACTCCTTGGAAACCTTGTTCAGGGTCGGGAACTGACTTGAGGGCACTTAACAACAACATTAATATAGGATGGGGTCCTGATGTGGAGCTATAGAATAAGCACTGGGCTGCTAACCACAGAGTCGTTGGTTCAAGCCCACCAGCCTCTTTTCAGAAACTGTATACAGGGTCAATATGAATCAGAATTGACCCGACAACACTTAACAACAGCAACATTAATACAGGATTGGAGCCCGGGTGGTACAGTAGTTAAGCACTTGGCAGCTAACTGGAAGGTCATCAGTTCTAACCCACTAGGTGCTTCATGTAAGAAAGGTATTGCAGTCTGCTTCTGAAAAGATTGAAAGCCTTTGACATCCTATGAGCAGTTCTTCACTGTCCTATAGGGTAGCCATGAATTGGAATTGCCTGTACAGTAATGGGTTTGGTTTATTGATAGAGGATCACTATCAGAATTGATTGTAGTGCAGTGAATTTAGTCATATTTTTAAAATGAGTCCATTATTATTATTATTATTACAAATGAGGAAACTGAAGCCTAGACAGTGTTTTGGTGAAAGCCTAACTCAGGGTTAACTAAGAACTGGAAATAACCTTTTTCCTCTCTATCTTGTTGTGTTTCCTGTTTAAGCCTTTAGAAATAAATTGTTCCAGTTAAGTGATTTGGAACTACGGGCAATTCCATAATTGCAAACATGCTGCGTTTTAAAATTGTGTTGGAAAGATGAATATGCATAAGCCTTGTATGAAATTATAATAAATTGCTAATTATGATAGAAGCATTTGGTTTTTACCTCATGATTATTGATCAGTGATTGATAAGTTTTGTAAATATGGACATTTTATGTTATTCCTGTATGTCAGGTGCTATGGATATTGGAATTAAACCCAGAAGTACAATCTTTGCTTATAAAGATTAAATAAAAATGAAAGCAGTAAAGTTCTTTCTATAATTTTTGTGTAATTTGGTTTTCTATTTCTTAATTTTTTTTACCTTATTTGAAATGGCATGTATTTAATGTTACTGAGTTTGACCAAAATTAAACAGGATAATTTGATGCTGAATTTGGTGATATTTTATTGATCTCCTTGAAATTTGTTAACAAGAAGTTAAATGTCAGTTGTGTTCTTTTGATAAAGGTCCATTTCTCATCCATAACTATTTAGATTTGGAGACTCTTTTTTTAAACTTTCACCTTTTGTAAATTTTAGTCCCTGCATTTGTATTTGCATTACTGAAATATTTTATGCTGTTCCTCTATTTACAATTTTCAGGTCTGTTCATTTCCCCAATCACTATACTATGCCTTTTAGAAATAGTCTTTATATCTTCTTTTAATGTAATTGAACATGAAGCTAAGTACTTGGCAGGGGCCAAGAAGTTCTCTCTTTCAGTCCTCTGACTGATTTCAGCCTTTCTTTCAACTATGCCATTATAGGCA